TGTTGGTTCATGCATGCTATTACATATTTTATTTAACGTGTTTATTCATTCTTTCTTTATTATTTAACTCAATTAATAACATCATCATACAGACTAATACATTCATACATTTAAAAATTAAATATAACAAAATTAACCAATTTTTATGTAAAATTATTATACATATCCGACATTTTGTTTTTGTTTTCTTATCCCTATTTGACGCTGAAATTTATATATATATATATATATATATATATATATATATAGATTAATTTAAAAAGAAATATATAAATTATATTTTTTAATATAAAAATAAAAACAAAGCACTTTCAACAAAAGTGAATATTCGAAAGAAACTGATTTTCTTATCCCCTTTAGGCAATCAGATTTACAAATATTGTTGATCTTCAAGATAATCTTATTTCAATATAATACTTTCAGATTTTAGAACTTAGTGTGATTCAGTAAAACAAGTTGTTTGCTTTGTTGTTAGATTTTCTGGTTCGTAATCTATAAACTATTGAAATTCTTCATAAATATTATTTTTTTCACAAAAATATAAGAATGTGCGTAATCAATTTTGTCATTAATTTGCAGAAAAAAAAAAATACATAACACGTGTTTATATAAATTTTAAGAAATCAAAGTAAAACAGAGTTTGTTACTGACCAAACTCTTTAGAGCTTATCCATTTTAAAGAGAATAGATTAATTTTACATGATATATAAATTTTAAGAATTAAAAGTAAAACAGAGTTTGTTAATGACCAAATTCTTTGGAGCTTATCCATTTCAAAGAGAATAAATATATTCTTTAACCGTATTAATGCAATTTTTATTTATATCTTTGTTCAATTTTAAAGATCACGTGTGATAAGACAATTTTACATGATATAAAACTCATTTTTTGATAATAATAAATAATTTATTTAATATATTCATATCGGTAAAAGTTGAAAACACGGTAACATATATAATATAGCTGTAATTACCTAACATAAAGATCTTAACACATTTTTTTTTTATTCTTAAAATCACTACATAATCAGAGTTATAATTTGACATGACATCTACTTGGAAAGAATTCCAATAAATTTTGATTCAAAATTAAACATATTTTGAAATTAAGTGTGATTTTTATAAAGCAAGAATGATATTGTTTCCTTTTGATGGGACTCTTTTTTTTATTACATAATTTACATAATTTTATAAATATGTATGTAAAATTCATTCTCATGTTCACAGACAAAAAAATACCATCGGCTTTACAAAAGCATTCCTTCGCATTTTCGAAACAAAACAATGAACCAACCATTTGGACCCATTAGCATTGTAACTAGGACAACAAGGCCTATGTTAATTGTTCGAATCATCAGGATGTACGTGCAAAAGTTCGATTCTGCATACCGAAACTCTCTTGAAATTGTTCTTCATGATGAAAAGGTTATATCAATTTATTTTTATTTTATATAATTATACTTTGTTATTTAACTTTTCCAATTGCTAATTAGATTAAGTGATTTTTTTTTTCATTGTGTACAGGGGGACCGCATTACCGCTTGGGTTAGATCTATGCAGATAGCATGGTTAAAAAAAGAACTATGTTGAAGGTAATGTCATTGGCATTAGAAATTATCAGGTCGACAATAATGTGGGTGACTACCGTCCGACTACACATGAGTTCAAGCTCATATTTCATGGAAGCACCGAGTTCATAAAGATCAGAGGAGATTTTCCTATTCATAGATGTAAATTTAAGGATTTTACGGAAGTTCAACATATCGACCAAATCGATCGCTTAAATCTATTTGGTAAGCAAGTTCATTTTATTTATTACGTTTTTTTTATAAGGATTATATATATATATATATATATATATATATATATATGTAAATAATTATAAATAAATTTCCATTGAAGTGTGTTAATTGTATATTATATTTGTTAATTAATATTATTACGTGTGTCTTAAGTTATAAATATTTAAATATTTGTGATATAAATATACATTAATTAAAAATTATACATGCAGATGTCATTGGAGTTATAATTGATGTTACAAATGTTCAAGAAAAGCATGTGGAAAAGGGTGATACACAAATGGTGGCATTCATCTCATGGATTTGAAGTAAGTATTTGATATTTTTTTTTATGAAAATGTAAATATACATTTAAATATATATATACGACCACATTACGTACATCATAAATATGTGCATTAATTCAAATTATATAATTTTATATGTACATGTTTTTTATATTTGCAGTGAAAACTTGATTAACTGCACTGTCTGGGGAGAGTATGTAGACGAGCTTTTGGCTTTCGAGAGTCAATACAAACAAACTGGTCAGCCTTGGGTTCTAATAATGCAATTTGCACGTTCAGAAGAGTACTCACGTGCGTACCAATCTTCAGTATAATTATTTATTCTAATGTTTAGTATTGTCTTTGGATAAAATGTTTATTCAATTCGATATTATAGGTAGAGTCCAAGTAACATCCTCCATGAATGCAACCAAGCTAATTGCACATGATTCAGTGCCGGAGATTGTTGACTTTTGGAAAAGGTCCTTTTTTACTAGTTGGAACCTTCCAATCATAGAGGCCTAGACATCGATCCACTTTCTTGATTCATGATTTCTCTAGTAACACAAGTATTTAGATCTTTCGTAATTCAATCGAAAACCCACTCTGGTGCCAATTGAAGTTTGATACTCGTACACCAAGTATCCAGAGTTGCGTATAAATAAATTAAAACAGAACTAAGCGAAGATTCAAACAAACGCGGAAGCAGTTTCACTGGGAATTGAACCTTTAGGAGAGCGTCTCACTCTCCCTTCAGATCTCTTTCATAAATGTGAGTATCACAAACACTCTTCAAGAGTTTACAATATAGACTCCCTCTACACTCTACTTAAACAGTAATTCACACAACTACTTATCTGACCACAAATCCCTTGTGGGTTTCTTAGTTCGAATCCCTCAAACTATTTCAGAATGAACCTCCGAATACTCTGTTCAATCTCTCACAAAATGGAAACAAACTGAATATCTGACTTCTCTCCTAAAACAAAAGAATATATGACTTTCCTGGACCGCGACCAAAATTTGTGCCGGTTTCGCCTTAGCAACACTCATATCACGATAATCTTTTTAAATGAATGGCTGAGGCCGCTCACCTGCCGATGACCCTCAGGATACACAACAAGTGAATGATTATGCAAGCCCTACTTTTTATCTTTACTTGTATGTATCATCCAGTATGTCGATCCTGCCAGGTTTTTTTTACTTTATCTGAAAATTGCAATTGCACGCTTTTGTTTTTGTACGTTTAAAGCAACTTTATCTAAATCTCTGAGTTTTCCACTATAACGTTCGCCTCGTTTGCACTTCAAAATCTTCACCCTTCCTTTTTTTGTGTGTTTCGAAATAATCAATTCGAAACCATGCAAAAGTGCCGTATTTTTTGCAGACTCGATAGTCTCCGCATCACTATAAAATAATGCAGTTGTATCGAAACCAACACTGTAATCAATACCATCTCCTCCAAAATCTTCCAGTGACACATGCAATATAGTACACATATCTATAATTTTAAAACATGTTAAATTATAATCTATAACATTGTAATTTCTTAATTCTAACATTATAACATCCTTTTTCTAATTTATAAGATATAATAATTCTAATCTATAAGATAATTAATTCTAACATGTAACATTATAATTTATAACTCATAACACGATAATATCTAATGTTCAATTTATCACATAATCAAGTCTAACATATAACATAATAATTTCTAACTCCTAACACTATAATATCCACCGTCCAATTTATAAAGATAATCAAGTCTAATGTACAACATATTAATTTATAACTCCTAACACGATAATATTTAACATCCATTTCGTAAGATATTCAAGTCTAATGTATAACATAATAATTTATAACTCCTACACGATAATATCTAACGTCCAATTTATAACATAATTATTTTGAATCTATAGCATAATAATTTATAATAATATTATTTAAAAAAAAAGAATTACGCCCGACCGGTCGAACCGGTCGGACCGGCCACGTCCGGCCGTTGCCGCCGGACATAGAGTGGGCCGTCCGGCCGGCCGGTTCGCGTGCGGACCGGTACGTACAACCAATGATCGTGTACGACCAAGGTCGTGTCCGAACTGACCGGTCGGACGCCATTTGGGCCGTCCGGTTGCATACTATAACGCCGGCCACACGGTGAAAAAAATTAACTCGTCGGAAGACTACATTTCGCCGGAAATCTTTTGGTAATTTTTTTTTTTTATGAGATTTTTGAAAAAATGAGAAAGACGTCCACGAGCGGTAACTAGTAGCAATGGCCTTAAATAAACATCCTATTTTTGTGAGACGGCTGATCTCGCTAATTTTATTCGTCGACATATCTCAAGGAAACCCTACGAGAACATCAATGGCCTGGCGAGGTTCGCTTTCCAGATCTCTCATGTCCACCGCGAGGGTCTTTAACTCATCTCCCTCGCTCTCGGCCACCCGGAGCCTCCGTCCTCCGCCGCTGTCTGCCCCTCGCATCCAAGTCCGCAGTCGCTCTTTCTCAAACCCCAGGCACTATACTTTAAAATCTTTTAATAGGAATTTTACCATCTCTTTTGGTATTTTGCATAACTATTTTCTGCAGAAAGTATAGATGCCATTGATATGCTACGCTTTGTTGGACGTTTAATGAGTTTTGGTGAATAACCGGAAAATGCTTTGTTATACTCCAATTTTGCCTCATTATCTCTGTAAATGTTAGTTATTATTAAGCAGTAACTGTGAATGATTGTTGATTGCAGATGTTGCAGTTTACTCTTTGTGTCTTCTCTGATTGTCTCGATATTATAAGTGAATTCTTACGGTGTCTCCTCTGGTTTATATATTTGTTGAAATTGGATCATTTAGAAGAAATAAGTTAAATCTTACTTGGCCTATTTGTATTTCTGATAAAACAGAAGAATTGGGGAACTGGGATGTGCCCAGTCGCTAGTGCCACTGGCGACGGGAGTACGGCTGACTTCTCATTTGTCTGTGAAAGTGCTAGCATGCTCTGAGTTGTCGCACGGTACCTTTCAACGTTCTTGTCAGGATCGCTAGTTGTTTCTTTGTGAGTCTAATACTGTAATTCAGAAAATAACTTTGGTGTTAAATGCTTGAAAGCAATTTGGGGACCATATTTTTTAAATATCTGTTCTATTCTGATTAGCAAAACATATGGAACTCGTAATGAGTCGAAAGATGGATTTAATTCACTATTTTTCTTTTGGCTCTCTGAATTTTGGGTAATAAATGATTTGAAATTATTGGAATTTATAGGGAGGAATGGAAAAGATGGGTGATGTCAGCAGTGATTTCCATCAAATCAAAGGCAGGACAATGGATTGTAGGTTGATTTTCCTCCCTTATATTTTGTGGTTCGAATTCGATGATGTTTTTTTAACTGTTAGAAATTAGATGGCAAATTTGATTCTTTCGAGAGTTGGTTTTGGAACTGAAACAATTTCAATGCTAGGAATGAGTTGAAATTGATAAATGAGTTGTTAATTTATGCTTAGGATCATCTTGAAAACTATTGTAGGTTGACAATGGATTGTAGGTTGATTTGTTTTCCCCCTTTTATTTTGTGGTTCAGTGATGTTTTTTTTTTTTTGAACTGTTAGAATTTAGATGAGAAATTTGAATCTTTCGAGAGTTGATTTTGTAATGGAGACAATTTGAGTGCTTGGAATGACTTGTGAATTTATGCTTAGGACCATCTTGAAAACTATTTTCAGAACGATAGATTCATTGAATAAACACATAATTACAAACGACTAACTAGCCGACTGAAAACAGCTAAACAACTGACTAGTCTTGAGAGGCATACACGACAAGAATGCTTGTAGCCTAGAGAACACAAAAACTAAACAGAACTAAACAAAACAAAATCTCCCACAACAGAACTAAACAAAACAAAATCTCCCACAAGTGGAGAATCGAACTCCTCACAGGTAAAACAGAGAAACGAACACAAGACGCGAAAAAACGCAAGGAAAGTCCTAATAATTAGACTAAGGCCTCTCAAACATCCAGACCTCCAAACGAACCAGCTCCACACGAACCAGCACCTAAATATGAACAACCAAAGGGAGTGACACAATCCACGGCCCAACACGCATGATCTAGATTTTGTGTCAATTATTCTTGTTTTAGTTTTTATTTGTTGCTCCCATATGGAACAACTAAGAACAAGTTTGGTACGTCTGTATACAGTGTTCTGACCTTCTTTGTTTCTTCTAATGTAATGTGAAACTTTTTTTTATGTGAAACTTATGTTGAGAAATTAGGATGTTTCAGCCCTTAAAATCGAATCTCGATAGAACTGTAGAAGTGGCTTGTTCGACTTGCAATTCAGTCACAGCGGCTACTATGCAGCAGCGCAAGCTGCTGTGATATGGCAACCAATTCTGTCACTTTTCATGCTTATCTTTTGACATAACATTACTTGTTTTACATGTCAGGCACTTGAAAATGGGTCGTGGGAGTTGGCGCAGTGTCTGCTGAAAGATGTGTTTCTCAGACAATTGGTGTGCTTTGCAGTGACTTTTTTCTATGGATTTGTTATGTTTAAAATATAAAATAAACAATGGATCTTCGTTTTCATTTTGAGCAAATATTAGGAACTTTGATAGGTTTACTGGCTGAAAGTTGAGAAGTTGGAAGGTAGCCGTGCAGCGGTCATATGGTACATGTCTGACCTGTACTGTTTATGGGAACTTGATTTGAACTGCTCGTTATCATATTGTCTCATGATGGTATTATTTTGTCATATTTACTAAAACTGCGTGTTTACTGGTTCATGCATTAAACTAATTGTCGGGTCAGCTTTAGTTCAATTTTGTTTCATGTTTTGGCCTCGTAACCTTCCGTGGAAATTTCTCCCACAGTAGCTTCAGTTTTTTGTCGTTGCTTTTTTTATTCTTTACTCAAGCTTATGGTACTTGAAAGAATACTCAATACCTAATCTTTTGGGCACCCGAGCTATTTGGGCTTTTGCAACTAAAAGAGGCTTTCACAACTTAATTACATGGGTGCCCGAGCTGCATGCTCTGGCTCTTTGTAA